AAAAAAATGGCGCCTCATAAGGACCTAAAATAGCGCCATCCAAAAAAAGACGGAAATTATAACTGCGGCCGCCCCGCGTTTTTTTTTTTTTTTGTGCGTGTGTGTTGGTAGTCGTGCAAGAGGCGCGGACTACGACCGCTGTGGGCGGAGGCTTCGCCTTTTAAGTTATTTCTTTATTTATTTATTTTTTGTGTCGTGTGCGCCCCGCTCTTCCTCCACTCGGCCCGTGGGCGGCCGGCGTGGAGGGGGTGGCGCAGGTTATTTTTTTTTTGAAGTGTGTGACTGGAATTCGCGGTCCCACTGGTCGAAGCGGGTGCGTGAGGGTCCTGCCGGGCCCCCCTGTTTCTCGATTGGCCACTTGATGCTTCCAGCGACATTGCGAGGGGCTGGGGGCGATGATTGGAGCTTTGTTTTTTTTTTGTTTCTTTTTTTTGACTGTGTTGTGGAGGGGTTTGGCGGCGGTGTAGTGGGTGTTCGAAAGACGCAGTGGAGTCACTCGCTGCGTCTACCGTTGCCCTCCCAGTCTTGTAGCCGTGGCACCCCCTCCGCCGCCCGTGGCGAGGCACGTGGTGTGGCCCAGCACGCTGCCGAGCACAGCCATCGGCGTTGGCTGCGAGAAGGCAGGGCAGCCTTGCTGGTGCGGGCACGCGTTTTTTTTTTTTTTACTGTTGTGTGGCGGATGAGGAGCGACGTGAGGCCGTTGCAATGCGTTACGGCCCGTGTGTCTTTGGGCGTCTCTTAGGGGTGTGCGCGGGCTTTGTCTCTGTGGCCCCGGCGGGATTTACCCGCGTTTTTTTTAATAATTTTGTCGGTCTTTTTTTATTTGTGTTGTGTGCTCCCGGGGCGGTGCGGGTTCCCACTGCGAGGCGTGTGGCGTCGCGCTTTATGCGTCTCGGTGCGTGGCAGAGGGTGAAGGTGCGGCTGCGCTGCTGTGCGGGGTGGTTTAGAGGGTGCGGGGAGTTACTCACCGTATTTGCCGTTCTTCTTGTCATTCTGCATTAACGCCTCCCTGTTTTCTGTGCGTGCGACACTACCGCTTCGCTTGCGTCTAGGCGGGTACAGTTGACAAGTGTCATTTTTACCATCCGTCTTGTTTCGCTTTGTGTTTTTATTTTGTTTTGGCTGCCTGGCCCCCTGCCGTCGTGCTTTGCGGCTCCCGCGCACGCACGCATGCTGGTGTTGTGGCGGTGCATGCACACAACAGGCGCCTCCACCAGTGGAAGTGCCTGATTGATTGATAGATTGACCGACTTGCGCGTCGTGCGTGCACGCGTGGAGGACGTTGCGTGGGGCGGGCTGCACAAGAGGAAGGAAAGGAGCAAGAGGCGAGGGTTTTTGTTGCAGCTGCGGCTGAAGGGCGGGAGGGTGAGGGGGCGGCAACAGGCGGCGCGTGGGACAACATCCAGATGCCACAGCCGCTGCAGGAGCTGCTGGAGACGAGGCAGGCGCTGGAGGTCATCCCCGGCGTGCTGTACTTCGCCTCCGTGGGTGAGAAGCTGCGGTCGATGGGGGAGCAGGTCGGCTCCGCGGCCTCGTCGCGGTCGGGGTCCTTGCGGCCGGGGGAATTCCCGCGGGAGGATGCGATTGAGGCGTCTGCCGCCTGCGCCGTGCTGGCGGCGTCGGCGGCGGAGTCGCTGGATGGCGACGGCAGGCGTCCCGACCCCCCACACGCCCGGCCCCGCACGCCGCCGATAAATATTCAGCGTGTGCGCTCAGACGTCGCCCACTCCGTCGTTTTGCGCCACGCGCTGCTGCTCGACAACGGCGGCGCAGGCGGCTTTGGCGGCGAGTACGCGCACAGGGCCTTTTACTTCTCCGTGAATGAGAGCCCGTCTTTCCAGTACTGCCCCTACTTTGCGGACTTTGGCCCACTGGGGCTGGACGCCGTGACGCGGTTCTCGCGCAGCCTCGCCGCCCTGCTGGAGCGCTGCGTCGCGTACGGCTGGCGCACCGACGCTGGCGGCGGGCGGGGGGCGGTGTTTGGGCCGCGCGAGTTTCTCTCCGGCAGGGACCTGCGGCACCGCGGGGAGGCGGCCGCGCCCCCCAACCTCCCCATTGTGTTTTGCAGCGGGCTGGGCAACCACGAGCGCGCCAATGCGGCGTGCCTGCTCGCCTGCTTTTGCGTGGCCGCGCTGCGCTGGTCGGCGGAGGCGACGTGGCGCGTGTTTCAGGCCTGCTACCCGCCGATCATCCCCTTCCGCGACGCCAGCTGCGGCGCGTCCACGTTTCCGCTGCTGATCCCGGACGTCATCGCGGGTCTGGAAAAGGCTATCGCGTTAGGCTGGTACGACGTTCGCGACTTCGACCTCGCGGAGTACGCGCGGCTGCGGCGCTACGACTGCAACTGGGTCGTGCCGCACGTCTTTCTCGCCCTGTCGTCGCCCGACAGCCACGTTCCCGGGCGCGGCGCGGAGGTGTACGCCAGGCTCTTTCAGCAGCTGCGGGTGACGCACCTGGTGCGGCTCAACGAGTCGCTCTACCGGCGTGAGACGTTCCTGGCGGGCGGGGTGCAGCACTTCGACCTGCAGTTTGCCGACGGCAGCGCCCCCACCGACGACATCATCAACCGCTTTTTGAAGCTCGTGGAGCCCGTTTTGCTCCCGTCGCAGCGGCAGCGGAAGCGGCATAAGCAGAAGGGCACGGTGTCAAGTCGGCAGGTGGCCGCGGGGGCCCAAGGCGGCGGAGGCGCGGTTGCGCTGCACTGCCGCGCAGGCCTGGGGCGAACAGGCACGCTGATATGCGTCTACATGATGCGGCACTTTGGACTCACCGCACGGGAAAGCATCGGGTGGATTCGCCTCTGCCGCCCAGGGTGCGTCATGGGCGTGCAGCAGGGGTTTCTGGAGCGGCTGGAGCGGCGGTTGTCGCGGCCGGCGAGGGACGCCGAAGTGCTGCGAGCCGAGCAGTCCACGCGGGGCTCCGGCTCTCGCTACACCGACGCCGGCGGCAACTGCACGTGCCGGATCCACGGCCCCCGGCAAGTGTCGTCCGCGCCCGCCTCGCGTGGGTGCCGCACGGCGGACGCGGCGGAGTCACGGGGCGCAGAGCCACGACGGTTCCTGGCGGTGCACGATGCCGCCGCCCTTCCCCGGCGCTCGCTGATGCGCAGCTTCAAGCACCCCGCCTCCTACTTTCTCGCGCTGGAGCAGAAGGAGAAGTCGCGGAGGACCCCGGCGTCGGCGCCGCCAGGGCCCGCGCGGATTTATGCCGAAGAGCGTACGTCGCCAGTCGGCGATGAGTGCTCCGCCCCGCTCGTGCCGCCGCGGCCACTGCCCTCTTCCTCCCTCGTGTCTCTCTTGGCGCCGCCGTCCAGGGCGCACGGGGGGCAGAAGAGCAGCGGGGCCGACGCGGAGAGTGAGGGCACGGCGCACGGCTGCCCCAACGGCTCTGCGGGCGGCACCCCATCGCCCAGGCCGCCGCCCTCCTCGCTGCCCCCAAACCTCTTCACGCCGCGGAGCCTGCCGTCTACGTGGGGCGTCTGCGCCGCGAAGTCCGACCCGCACGCCGGCGCACGACCTCCACGGCTCCTACAGGGAAGACACGGGCACCTGTCGGACGGTGCCGCCAGTGTCAGCGGCAACCACGACGCCTCAGACATGGATGAAGGGAGTGCGTCGCACTGGTCCACTGGGCCTAGGAATTCGCTTAGAACCGGCTCCAACTTTCGCGCTGCCTCGGCGAACGGCGCCACAACACGCGGCCCGTGCTTCTCAACCACCTCGGAGCCCTCCGTCGGAGGCACAGCGCCGCCGTCAGTGCCGCCCCATCCGCCGACGAAGCGCCTCCTCCTGCTTGCCAGGAAGGCAGCCGCCGCAGCCGCAGCGGACGCTGCATTGACGGATCCCGGATGGGGGGCGGTCGCGGTGCGGTTGGAGCCGTAGGGTGGCGACTCCCCCCAGCGCACTCCCTACGCGAATGATGTACAAAGTTTACAAATCAAACTGGTTATCCCCCCTTCACACCTCTTTTTTTTAGTCTTATTTTTTTTGTTTTTCCTTACTTTTTAGCCGCATTTCGCTGTTGCTCACCTTTCTTTCTTCTTTGAGGTCTTTGCAGTTTCTTGCGACACCGGCGTCTCGCAGCTGTGTTTTTCTTCTCTCTCTCTCTCTTTCTCTCTGCCGTTGCTGCTGCGACGTGTGGTATCGCTGCGGATGGGCACAAAGATATATACGCACAAGTATATATCTACATATATTTAAAGCAGAAAGGTGGGAAAAGAGCGATGTCCATACTTTCAGAGGAGGACGAGTTGTTGTTTGCGGAGGCGCGGGAGGCGCAGCTGACGCGCAATGAGGCGGTGCAGATCATCATGTCGGATGTCCCGCACGCCGTGCTGCACGGCGCCTTCATCCGGGTTCTGCTGGAGCTGCAGGACCACCGCGAGGACTACATCGTGGCCCGCGTTGGCGCAGTTGCCACGGGCGACGTCTACGGCGGCTTCTCCACCAACGCGAACATTAGAACCGACCACTACCTCGTGCTGCAGCTGCCGCCGTACCTGGCGCAGATCAACGGGACGCAGTACCAGCTGAACAGCATCAGCAACTCCGCCATGACGGAGGCGGAGTTTGCGCGGTGGTTAGAGATGACGCGCGTCACCGCGCAGGCGCCGCCGCCGTCGTCATCGTCGTCGTCGTTGTTGTGCGGCGCCGAGGGGGCTGCGGCGGCCGGGGGGCCGGTTCCGACGCGGCAGGAGCTCGCCAACGTCTCCCGGCGCCTGCGCGGTGTTCTCGCCGGCGGGGCGCGGCACGGGGCGGCGGGCGTGCACCGTCAGCGGCGGCCCAGCCAGCCCCAGTGCCCGCAGCCGCACCAGCCCTGCGTGGCGCCGCCGAACCCCCCCGACGGCGCGCAGCGGGCGCTCTCCGCGTCGCAGCGGCATCTCACCCCGCACCCCGGCGGGGGCCTCCGCGCCTCCGTCTCCGCGGAGTTCCTGGCAGACCCTGCGCCCCACAACGGCGCCGTGGCTCAGTTCAAGCGGCAGGGCACCATGGCCTCGCTTAACGCCGCCGCCGCCGCCACCAACAACAGCAATTGCAGCAACACTAGTACTAACAATAATAACAATAATGATAGCAGCAACACCAGCAGGGCTGAGGTCGGCGGCGGTGGTGGGAAACCGCCCTTATTCCACGGCACCGTCTCCCCGCGACCCCTGCCGACCCACGCCCAAAGCGTCGTGGATCTCACCGTGGCGGAGCGGGAGTTTGAGCTCCCGACGCGCCGGCAGATCCGGCAGGACATCATCAACAAAATGAGTCAGACCAGCGTGCTGTTTCCGACGAACATCAATGAGCTGAAGGTTTCGCAGCTGCGGCTGACGGAGCGTGACATGATCGAGTACCTGGAGCACGTGCGCGAGGTCATCTCGAGTAAGCAGGATAACTGCGTGGTCTGCATGGACCACGTCCCGACGGTTATCTCGCTGCCGTGCCGTCACAAGGTGCTCTGCAGGTTGTGTGCCCCGTCGGTGAACACCTGCCCCGTGTGCCGCAGCCAACTGTTTGAGCTCTTCGAGCCGAAGGAGATCTAGCAGGGGAGAGGGGGGTAACAACAGCAACAGGAGCAGAAGAACAAGAAACCAAAGGGGTGAAAAGGGTTTTAGACGTCGCGACAAGGCCTCGGCGGCAACGAAAGTGTGTGTGTGTGTGGGTGTGTGGTGCGTCTTCTCTCACTCACTCTCTCTGATCCGCCTCTTCGTGCCTCTTTTGCTTTGCCACGTTTGGCTGCGTGTCCCTTTCCCTCCCTCCCCCTCCCACCTTTTTTTTATTATTATTTATTTGCGCCGCCTGCGTGGGCGGCAACACGCACAGCCACAGACAGAAGCCTTTTTATTATTATTATTATTGTTTGCCCCTTTCTGCATTTTGCCTCCATCATTCGACCGACAAGTCTTGTGGCGGTGGTGGTGCCCTCTTCGCATGAACGCCAAGGCGGCGGGGCGCAATTAAGTGTATGCAGCAGCGGCGTCGGTGAGCGGGGGGAAGGAAAAGGAAAGGGAAGCAAACAAATTATAATAGAAAAGAAAAAGGGAAAAAAGTTCCCTGAGTAGACTGTTGGGAGGGCATGAGGGTGCATTTCCCGCCCACCGTCTTTGGCAGTGACAGGAATTACACCTTCCGCAGTGACGGTGGCGTTTTTGTTTTT